GCAGGGCAGTTGGAGCAGTATTTTCCAAGAGACTGAGTGGTAAGAGGGGGTACAAATAAGGAATCAAGAGGGAACACAGGTCACCTTGAAAGTATGCTGCTTGAAATGAGTGTGCTGGAGTGCCTGCCCTTGGAGGTAGGCTGGAAGCATCATGTCATCACAGCCTTTCTGAAGGAGGAACACAAGGAGAAAACTATACTGTGACACAAGAAGGAGAAGCTGCTCATACTAAGAGAGCAGCCAGAAAAAATCATCAAAGGCACTGCTGCCAAGTGCACAGGTGTGTAGAGCACTGCGGCTTCTCAGGTGAAACCTTTCATGTCAATAAACCACAGCTCCCAAACAGCTTAAAAATTCCACAGAAAGAGAGCCAAGAACACTTGAGGCCTTAAGAGAGTCCGTAAAATTTTGTGAATAGCTTTCCCACTGCCATGACACTATTTTGGAGCCAGTCTGACCAAAATAGAAGTTCACATGACGTTATGGTGATTCCTGCGCTCTCCCTGGTGGAACTGTGTGTACCATAGCAGGATGTTCCTATAGTGACCAACAGATAACTGTGGACAGATTCTTCTCTGGCACATCTGGCTGGCACATGTGTACATTTGGGCTGCTCTGACCAGCCAGCCCTGACACTGGCCAAGGCCATTTGTTTTTCTGGAGGCAATGGTAATGGTGGTGAAGCTGCAGAATGATGTGTGTCGAGCAGCAGCCATGGATGGGTTGTATTAGCTTGTATTCAGTGCAGTGGGATGGAGGAAGAGTTGGGGAACTAGGAAAAAAATCCTGAGAAGAATGAAAAGAGACAGTATCGTGTGACAAGGCAAGCACCTTTAACACAGCAGAATTTAATGCCATTGCCTGTGCTCTCAGCAACCCCTCGACCCTGGGATGCACTGGGTCTTCAGAGGTTCCCCATGCCAAGCTGTCTCTGAGATTTCAGGAACTATAAATACAGTGAGCAGACTAGAAAGGTTATTGTTATCTCTTTATTACCTGTTTTTGGAATCAATATGGCAGTTGTTCCTCTTGTTAGCAATCCTGATCTGTGCCGTGGAGGAGACAATGAAAGTAGTGATAATACTGTAAACTCAAGGAAAGTTACATGCAGCTGTTTACCCTAGGAAGGAAAAGAAACCCAGGAAATTGTACTGGCTTAGAGAACTACTGTAGCTGTACCTCTCCTGCTGCAATTAATAGACACTGTATAAGCCCTGTTCCTGTTTCAGCCACTATAACAGACAAAAAAAACTCCAAACCCCCAAGAAATATAACTGCAGTCACCTTATCATCCCACTGCATCAACCAGTTTCTGCAGCACAGCTGTGGTTAAGAGAACAGCTAAAAAAGAAAATACAGCCAAGGCACCTTTACTTTTCTTGTTAACCTTTAACTTGAAAAAATAAACGTATCTGGCATTCTTTCCCTTGAGATTGCTGGTGTTCTGCTAAGCAGCTGAAGTGATGTGCATGACGTGGCAGTAGACAGATCATACTGTGTCCATGAGGTTTGCTGTATCAGATAGCAAAAAACTCACAGCAGTATTGTAGCTTGCTAAAATCCTTTATACAGCTCTTTGAAATGTGCTGTTTGCATCCGTCTGGCTGGTTAGATCTCTAAAATGAAAGGGAAATTGTACTCCAGAATAAACTAACCTCTGTTCAGTGGTGCATTTTGCAAAACCTAATGCAGAGAAAGTAGAGTAAAACCTGAAGGTTATTTAATCTCGTATTTCAAGATGGAGTAAGGTGTCTCCAGTTACTCCCCTCCCCTCGAAGCAGGAGTTTGGTGTGATGGCTATGACTCAGAAGTTAATTTGCTTGTGACTGAGGTGATGTAAAAGTGGAAAATGTATCAGTCTCATTTGAAGCCTCTGATCAAGGCGGGAGAGGCCAGACAATAGCAAGCTGCTCTCCACCATTTCATGGAACAAATGTCCTTCTTTGGTAAGTCTGTTGAGTAAATCTTACTACAGTGAACTCTGCAAAGCAGCACCAATAAACCTGCTCAGCCCTGCCAGATTTGGTGGCCTCTTTTCCTGAGGCCTTGCAAAGCTCTGTGATCCCCTGTCCTGATGTCCCTGGAGTCCTTGAACATTACTGGTCTTCTCCACAGTGCTTTTCATTAGCAGTGAGCTACTTATCCTGTGCCTGCCTGCTTCATCCTCCTGACACTTTGTCTGGTGCTTTGCTGGGAAGGTCAGCCAGGCAGAATGGTTCTGATGTGTTTGGGAGGGAATAATTTATCCGTCAAGCTTTAATCCTTGAGAAATAAGTTCTTGGGGGGGATTTTGCAGGAAAATTGAGGTTAGTGGCAAGTCTCCAAGCAGGCACTTATCAGAATAGTGGAGAAGTTGATTAAGCAGAATCACATGGTAGAAAATAAGCTGAGCACACATTGCTTTAGTCTTATGCTCTCTTAAGGCGTGAGGCTCATAACCACTAGGAGTTTTCAGTCCCTGAGACGGGGAACAGGCAAGTGTTGCACAGACAACGTGACTGAAGAGCAATGATGTGCCACAGTGGCAGCCAACACAAAAATCTGTTTTGCTATTTGGTCTGGAATAAGTCAACATTGGCCTGGAGGATTGCCGGACTAGAATAAAGCCTGAGCTTTGGGGAAGCATGGACTGGACTGCCTGGAAGTACCCAGCTGGGAAAATGAAGGTGTGTAGCCTCAACCCACAGTGCTCACATACACTGTGGAGCAACAAAGAACTGGCAATTCACTGCTTGGTCTTAACTGGAAGAGAGCAAAGGATGCATTAGGACTGTTGTATACCTTCAGGAGGGGATGAATTAGGATCCAGAGCTGGGTCACCATGTCAGAAATCAGCATTTACTTCTCACCATTCCCTCACACTTCTGTGACATTTGCTAGTTTCCATACCTGGGATCACCTGCTCTAGCTACAGACTGCAGTTACAGCTCTGAGGTGGTGGGAGGGCAAACTCTTTCATGTTGCTGTAGTTCCCAATGTTTCTTTGTTGGTGACTTTGTTGGTGTAAAGAGTCTGTATGTACAGTGGGTCTGCAAGTATGTGCTGAAAGGTCATCTTTAGGGTATCAACCATAAGCGTATTAACTGAGATTTTTTTCTTCTATCTCCATCTGGTGCTGTCCTCCAGCAGACTGCTTAGAACATGCTTATGCTTGTGTTACTTGGGAGCTGAGTGTATAGACACATCCTTTATATTATGGGGGTGTCAATGGCCTGACAAACGCAGGCATGTCAGCTGAAACTATGACACATGCTGTGTGCCATGAGGAATGGAGCACAAGAACAGGGAAAGGAGGGAGAAACAGTGTTTCCTGTTTACAGGCCAGGTACAAGTTATCTGGTGTTTTAGAGAGACCACTGCTTTTTTCCTGCTTCAAGTATCCCTGCACAGCGGGAAGCAGGCTGTGCCTCAGCACAGCCAGTCCCCCTTCACAGGTCATGACTCGGGCAGCAGCTGGGCAGGGTGCTCAGGGAAATTAAGCTTTAGCTACCTGATGTGCTGTGCACAACCCTCAGGGTAGTGACGTGGGGGGAATGGGTCAGTTCAGAAGAGTTCATTAGGAAAGAGGTGGTCCTTCCAAGAATGGAGTGACAGGGAAGAAAGGTGCCGCTGCCCCAGCTAGCTGTTATGAGATCACTACAGCTGCCCTGTAGGAGTGACATGAAATGGAAATCACTGATTTCTGAGGCTCCCTCTCACTCCAGCCAGGGCACCAGATCCCCTTGCACACCCACCTGTGCATCAGCTACATCTGCGTACACCTTTGCTCTGAGCTCTCCTGGAAGTATCAAAGGGAATTCCTGTGTCTAAAGTGTTCTCTTAGACCAAAAAATCATGTTTTAGAGAAAGAAAAGACAACTCTGTTGGGTGACAAATATTAAAATAAATTATTTTGAAACGAAATTCCCATCTTCTTCCACTTAATCCAGTAAATTTTGGTGCCTGCCTACGTGTCAGCAAACTCTGCGCGGCCTCTGGAAAGTCTCTGTCTCCTGCTGTCTCACAGCCAACTCTGGCTGTTCTCTGTCTTCTCTGGCTCCTCCACTCTGCAAACCTGCTTCTGGCTCCTGCTCTCTGTCCCTCACTCTGCCTGCCCCACTGTGCCCACAGGAGGTTTCTCCCAGCTGGTCCTTCCCTGAAAGTGACTTTTGCCATCCCACACACATCTTCTGGAAAATCCTACCCTGGAGAGCAGCAGCAGGTCCCTGCTGCCTGGAAGTGCTCCTGAGCACTGGCACCTTCCACACCTGCTGGGAAAATGGGCCTCAGCTCTCCTGCAGGGCAGAGGGGTGCCCTCACCTGCTGGTGGGTTTGAGGCATTCCCCTGACTAACAGAGGGATGCAACCCCCCCGCCCTGTGGTCTGTGCTGTCACTTGAGCGGGCAGGGGCAGAGTGACCACTGACAACCCATGCCTGGCATCACTGTAGCTGACCTGATACAGTGGGGGTCAGCACTATGAGCCCTGGCAGTGAATGTCCACCTGAAAAGAATCATGAGGACAAAAGTTAATTGTCTTCTCAGTGCTGACCCATCTCTTGATGAAGGGAGCAGCCACAGACAGATCCCACCCTGTCATTTCTGTTCCTCTACTTTCTTGCTCTTCTCCTGACTGCTTCTGCCCCTGCCTGTGTGCTTTGTTCTCTGACCTCTTTGCTCTCACACTCATACACGCAGAGCCTCCCTCACATGGGTCTTACTTTCTCTTCAGGCCTTACTGTATGTAGCTCCCTGCCTTGGGCCAGGGCAGCTTTATTCTCAGCTCTCACTACAGCAAGGGCTGTTTTCTCTTTATACTTACTTTGAAAGCACAGTTCCAAAAGTACATGGTGGCTTTTAGTCCCTTGGCAGTGACCTGATCACAGACCAACCTGACAGGCCATGGCATCTTTTATTAACAACACTTTCTCACAGGAGCCCTTTGGCACTACCAGGAGCCGTGTTCCCTACTCAGTGACTGGCTCTCACATCATATAATTCTCTCTTTCTTGACAGATTATGTTATAACCTATGATCACAGAAAGTCCTGATCCTCACGTTTCTCTGCTGTCACCTGTAGGCTCCTCCAGAGCCGTGAAGAAGGGGGAACTCCAGCCCCACCATGACAAGACCGGGTGAGAAGTGCCTGTGAACAGCCACACTTTGAGAACTAGTTTTAATTTTTATTTTTAGCAGTTATGAAGGATGGAAATAATGTTCTCCATTCAGCGCTGAACCAGAGGAGCAGCTCTGCCTTCCCTCTCTGGGATTAGATTAAAGATAGTTTCATTAATGCGGGGAAAGTATGCTAATTTGAGCCACTCTAAGCAAGGGATGAATGAAGCTCCCAGCACGTTACCAAGATTGGCTTCCAGGCAACACACTACCTCAGACTTCCCCTCAGATGGAAGGTGTCTGTTGGTGTGTCACATGATGAGATGCCTGAGGTGTCTTAGCCTTTAGGGAGTAACGAACCTCTTCATTCCTGTCCCGATCAAGGTGGCTGTGCTGCCTGAATGGTTTGCCACATGTGGGGAATCCAGATGCACTACAGAACAAACAGCCTGGGCTGTAACTTATATGGTTCTGTCTTGCTTTACCAAGACCTCTTCCTGTGTGTTCAACCTGGTTGGTTCCTGCCTGGCTTATTACTAAAGACTGATGCCTCACCATCCCAGCTCTATCTTGCCCTTACAAATCTCAGGCTAACCCCATATTTCCTGCCCAATCTTGCTGTCCTTTATGTATGGCTGTCCTTTATGTATTCCCTTTGCCAAGGAAGGGAGTGGACTGAGCTGTAGCAGACACTGGTGCCTTGTGTGACTGCTGGCAAGTCTAGGAGGCCTAAGTCCTTGTGAGAAATTTGGAGTCTCTCCATTCAGTATGAGGGGGCTCCATCCACTTCCAGCGATGACACAGATACTTAGCTTTCATCCTGCTGGCCCAAACTAGAGTCTGGGGATTTAATTCTCTGTTCTGAACATGAGATTTAGTCACTTAGATTCCCTGGTCCTTACAATACTGAACACAGCTCATAGGAGCAGCCTTGGAAAGCACACCTTTCTCTTTCTGGGTCTCATGGAGGGTGATCATTTGGGCCTGTGGTTAAGGAGTCAGGATGGTGCCCGTGTGAAAGTCTGTGAAGTACCATTGTCTCTGCACTGGGAAGGCCTTTGGCAATGCTTGGCTACCCTATGCAATCAATAAACCATGTGCATCTTCCCTGTGAAGGGTGAATCAGAGCAGTAAGGGGCTGCAGCGAGACTGTCAGGCACGAAACCACCATCTTTATTTGTCCTCCTTGCTGCTTGGGTCTTCCAGGAGACCTCAGTGTTATGTGATGCTTTCGCACCCCAGCCTCCCCCTTAACCCACACACTCTTATCTGCACCCCCTTTGAGGGCAAGAACCTCTCTATCTCTTGTAAACCTGCCGTCTCCTGAAGTGCTGCAGTGAGAGTAAGCTGGGCCTGCAGCAAGCACTTGTGAGCATTTATCACTGGAGTTGAACCACATTATTGTGAGGGAATTGCTGAGGGTAGGTAGGATAAACTTCTCCAAATTCAGATGGGTAGTGTAAGGCCACTGTTGGCTTGGCTAGAGAAGAAAAAGATTCCCTGCCCCAAGCCCCGTGGCTCATCTCCTAGTTATGCTGCTCTGTTCCTACGCAAGCTGTTGGTGTTGGCTTCTGCGTTCCCTGGAAGCAGACCTGCTGTTGCATCCTGAGAGTCACCATCAGGCTGCTTCAGTAACTCATCTTTCCTTCCATTCACAGGTCTTCTGCGCATGGCGACTCCACCCATGTGAGAGCTCTCTTATGTGAGTCCTCAGCAGCACACTGTGCTGTCTGTGCTCTGTGGACACTGACTGCCATCTAAGCGACACCCCAGCTCCCTCCTCTCCCCCTAGACGCCACTGTCTTAGAGCCTCCATGTGCATTTGCTATGACATACATCAGTGTTGATGAGAGACAGGAACACTGCCGGGTGATCTCGAGCTGCCAAAATAATCAGCTCTGTGCACAACATGGCTTAAAGGATTTTTCGGTTAGCAGCATGCATCCACTAAAGAACCTAGACACTCACATTTTTTCTGGGGACTTCCACACTCTAGACTACTGCCACACGGGCAAGGCACCTTTGGCCGGTCCTGTGGAAAACCGGATGTATCGGAGCGTGGAGAACCTTCACTGGGCAACAGTTGCTGACTCTGGGCTGTATTCTCACTGCCGGAGCCTGGATAATGAGATCATCTTTCGCTATAGAGGCACCAGTCAGTGGACAGAAGGCTGTGTGGATGTGGCCCCAGTACAGAGCACGTCGGACTCTCTGAGAAACCTTTCTCTCCATGCTAAACAGACGTCTCGATCGGCACAGAACGTGCTCCTCCCTCCCTTTGCCAAAGTGCCTCAGTGGCTCTTCCCTTCTGCAGAGGAAAGAGCCCTACATGGAGATGCCAAAAAAGAGCTGAAGGAGAAGCTGAGGCTGCACAGCAGTAAGGTGGCAGAGCCCTGTAAGCCAGTGCGTCCCCAGGTGGCCCTGCCTGACCTGATGGCCCGGGAGTTCTTTGAGTGCCAGGTGTGTCGGCAGTGCAAGAATGGTTGTGCTGTCAACTACTGCACGGTGTTGGTGGAACACACTGCCCTCAGGCACAGCCTCACAGGGAATCAGGGACTGTGCTTTGCACACAGGATCATCAGTCCAGAAGACATCAAGCAGGAGGCTCAGAGGAGGCTTCAGCTCCGAAGGCAGAACAGCTCCCCCAGTTTGCCCCTTCAGCACACGGGGGAAAGCCATGAGATGGGCAAATCCAGAACAGCAGAAACCCTAAAACAATACAGTGGGGAAACAGATGGCAAAGTCACATTGGGACAGAGCAAGAAAGGTCGCTGTAAAGGGAGGCTCTACATACCCACCTTTGAGGAATTTAAGCAGATGAGAAGAAAGGAAGGAAATTCATCTGCCAGCAGCAGTGAGACAACAGAGTGCTTGAATAAGGGTCTGCCTGCAAACCAGACACTAGAGGAGGAAAAGAATGTCTGTCCAGAAGCTCTGGGGACCAAAGCTGTCAATGAATCTGCTGTCACAGCGGAGGATGATGACAATGTATTCCATGAAAACCACACCTCTGCTGGCTTTTCCCAGTATCCAGCCACATGGGATGGTTTCAGGATGAGCAGTCCTGAGCTGAAGGACAAAACTTTCCAGACCTCCAGCCCAGATACATTACCAGTCCCTATTTGCTCCAGTCCAATTCCACGATCACCTTTACAGGCAGTAGCAATACACAGAACTGGGCAGGAGATCTTGAGTGATGAGCAACAGAAAGGAGAGACAAGAAAATTAAATGATGTCCTCCACCTTGCAGGGCAGTCCCTGGCTTCTGAAGCCCAGTCCTCTTGCTGTTCATCGCTGCTGTTAGAAGCCACAGACTTATCCAGCTATGGAGCTAAGCTACAAAAAATGAAGGATGAATTCATAGGTTCAGCCTTGGAACTTATTAAGAAAAGGTAACATGCTCCATGGGGTCACCTGAAAGCAGTTCCCTTGTTAATGATCTCGTCTTTCTCTTGATATGTACATTTAAGTCCTGTAGCATAAATGCGTTGTTGGCAGAGCCTTTGATCTTAGAGTCTCCGATAGCCACATGGACGTCTTTAAGCTGTTGGGCTTAAACTCCATCTTTGCGTAGGATTAAACATCAAAAAGCATTTTTATCTAGACTTTGCCTTTTTGTGCACCTTAATTCTGTAAAGACAACAGCCATTAGTAGTTCTGACACCCAAATTCCCATCCGTTTTATTTCTGCATATTGTTGAAATGTCTTTTTTTTTTTAATCATCTGTTAAAAGTAGAAGACAGACGAGGGATACAAAGTACTAATATGATTCCTTTGAAGAAAGATGTAGAGTCTGTCCTACCACTGCAAGACATGAATTTAGATAGTGTGACATGCGGCAACAAGTGCTTTCACTCGCTGCCTGTATGAAGTGAACCAGCAATCAAGAGCAAGGTGGCTGATATGAGTCTTTAATCACCTTTTGCAGAGCCACACAGCAGCGAGTGAAAGCACTTGCAAATACTGCCCTTCTGCCAACTCAGTGTAGGCAGCGAGAGAAAATGGTTTTGTAAAGTCTTCCTTCATCTTCTCCAACCATGGTTTTCCCCTTCTCTGAGAAAGATGTCCACAAGGACTGCTTTTTCTCTATCTTGGTTTTGGACACTGCAGTCCTATTACCTCCCTTCTGCCAAAGAGAAGTGGATCCCTTTCTATGCAGAGTGGCTCAATAGGAATCAGCAAAGTTCTAGAAGCTAAGGATTTGGGGCAGTTATCACTGTCTTATCATGATGGGAAAAGGCTGATGGGAAAAGGAGAAATAAGTGTTGGTGGAGTGGTTTATTTCCATGCACTTGGCTTTCATAACTGGCTTTGCCAAGAATTGCATTTGACCTGTTTCCTGGCTGCTTCTGCAATCCACAGATCAGTGTGTGAAATGCCAGGGCATCAACCTTGTATGCTGTCTCACTATTTCTGGAATGCATGAGCTCTGAGACTGGACTCAGGTTTTGAAGGAGACGATAGTGACTTCTGCACAGGAGTGAGAGTCATCTGAAAGAATTTCTGTGGAGCTGAAGCAGGGTGACAAGCAGAAATACTTCTGCAACTTTACATTCCAAAGGGAAGTGGGTAGTGTCAGAGCCCTAAATGCTTCCCTCAGCTGTCCAGCCCAGCCTTTGTGCTTTTTTTCTAGAGTATGAAAACCCAAAGAAGCAAATGAGAAAGCTGTGGTATGCAGCCATTTTCATTGAGTAGGTTATTTTTGTCATGGATGTGAAATGAAATACACAGCCTGGCACAAGCCATGAGTAGGAGTGTAGGAAGAGCTGCCTCCATGCAGATCAAAGGTTTGACTAGTATCTGGAGCCCAAGGTGAATGCATAGCAAAGTACAGGAAATGGGTAGTGCATAAGATCTTTCTTCCCACTACTCTCCCGGCCTCCAAACACTTCCTGCCCAAGGCCTCTATGGTTTCAGTGTGGTTTCTTTGCTTTTAATATCTACAGTGGTTTTTGTTTCTGTGAATGTGTTCAGTCTCCCTAGTTGGATATATTAAAATCTATGAAGTGATTTTATTAACACCAAAATAATAGTTGATCTAAAAATGAGAATGACAGTGGTTCCAGTATGAGAGAGGTTGTTTCATGTGAAGGAACCAGCCTGGTCTGTTTATTTTCTGTAATAATAACATCAATTAATGGTAATTGTTATTGCCAAAGCACTGGTTAGTGGGAAACTTGAGTTTCCTTTTTATGGAAATTTCTCATTTTTCCATCATTTTCACCTGAGACTGTAATGTGCCTGAATATTCACAATTCAAGCTGATTCTCACTGCAGAGGTGGGAAACTTTTTGTCTGGATGTTTTGGGTCCTAAATTATGATTGTTGACATCCAGGCCACAATTTTTAACTTCTAAATGAAATGAGCTGAAAGCTGAGGATTCAGTCCCAGTTCCACTGATACTGAGCTCAACAAGCCCTTGATAGAGATGTTGTGATGAAGTGTCATAGAATAAAATACCTAAAATTGTCTTCTTTCTAGTAGTTCTGTGTGTCACAGTTTTACAAAGCAGTTTTGTCTGTCAGTTAACTGTCTCCCTAGTAATTCATAGTTAATTAGTTAAGACTCATTCAATTGACTTAATATTTCATCAGTGAAGATTTGATTTTCAGTCTTGAAATTATGGCAGCTTTAGGCCCCTCATTGGTCACTGTATACCTTTAATTTAGGTTGTAATCCTGGCTGGGAAGGGGTGTTGAGATCTAGGTGGAAATCCTGTAAGCATTTCAATATATAGTCCACTTTCTGAAATTGTTAAATGGCAAATTGTTCAGGATAAGGGTATGCAAGGACCAGGGGGGTTGTGTCTATGAAATGGGGGACATGGTGACAATAGAAACCTGCACAAGAAAGCAAAGGACATGACTAAGAAAGAAGACTTCCTGGAAAGAGTGTTGATCTGTATTTGATATGACACCAGGGTGGTGGGTAGAATACCAACTTCCCATAGTGGAGGACTCCAAGTCAGGAAGGGAGGTGACAGCAGGGAAGGCGTGCACAAAAATGTTTCCATGAGTCAGAAGGAGTCAGGAACATGTGAAAAGGGCTGAGAACTGCTGGCCTGGACAATGATACAAGCATGAAGAGGCCCATAGAGACCATGAAGGAAAATAGGTGCATTTCCAGTTGTACACCATACCCCCAGTACTTCTGCTTCCATGAGATTCAAAGATGATGACCCAGAGGTTTAAAAAGACTTTCAAAAAGAACATATCCTCCCTGTGCTGGCCCAAGTGCATCACCTGTCTTGGGGGAACAAGAAAAACTGACACCAATCCCAGGCATAAACTTCTGTCCCAGTAAGTGGTTTGATCCCACAGAAGGAAATATGCCAGAGTCCCCCCCTTCTGCAGCTCTGCATGAGGGCAGAGGGGACTGCTTGAGCAGGCAATGGTCCGGACCTGTTGGCAGCACAGATCTCTGCCAGGAAGAGGGGACTGGAGAAAGGGGCAATATCCTGTTTTCTTGGCAATGTCCCCTCTTCCTCCCAACCAGACGCAAAGGTTAAAGGAGTAGCCTGAAGCTGTGGTTCTGCAAAACTGCTTATATCCTCCCTGTTTTGCCCACATCCCTCTGATCACACTCCTGGTGAATGAAGCAGCACTTGCCCCAGCAGTCAAAGCAGGGATGAAGAAATCTCCTTTCACAAAAGGTGGGCTCTGCATCATTGCCTTTTTTACCTCTTGCTGACCAGCCATGGGGTGGGTTGAATTTCTCAGTCTCCAGTAATGTTTCCTTAGCTCAGCTCTCTGGATAGTGTTGGCTCTTGTTCCCACTGCAGGTCATGGCTGGAGATTTTTTTTAAATATCCCTATTGGGTTATGGAAACCACAATAAGTGGTGGCATCTGGTCTGCAGAGAGCTGCTGTCAGCTTCACTTAATGGAGCAGTAATGTCCTGGAGTACTTCCCATATTTAAGTGGATGATTTTGAAGCACTGTAAAAATGAAAAATGAAAGTTCAGCATCTCTCTGAGTCTGGTCTGTGTGGTGGTAGGTGGTGTGATCAAGAAGATAATATTTCAGTTATGATATCTGCTACTGACCTTGGACACATCCCGTTGCCTCTCTGTGCCCCTTTCTGTGTGCTTGAACCAGGAATGGTTTGAGCAGGAGCAGCTTTTGGAAAGGGTGGTTTTCTAGCAGCAGCACATCGTCCTCGAGAGTTTTCTTGCCTGTTAACCTGTGTTAACCTGTGCCTCCCCTCCCATGAGTGTGCCCAGCTGAACTGTTCATACTTTACCCAACTCAGTGAAACATTTATGAAACGATCTGGCTGGGAATACATGAGGTCAGGTATATTTTTTAAACCCATATAATTTCAAGACTGATTTTAGATCATAGCCATACAGACAGTTACACTGGGCTGAAGGAGTGGCACCCCAAGCGTGGCTGGGGACAGGAGAGAGGAAGGAGGCAGGAGCCTCTCAAGCCAAGCCAGGCCAGGCCAGTACCATGATGTGACCACAGCCTTGCCGTGTTCCTGTGCTGCTCTTACTGCAGCCCTGTAAGGGGGCTCTCACAGTCCCTACTACAGACTGCTTTGTGACAGTGCTGATGTTGGTATCCCCTTTCTGCAGGCTGGGCAGTAGAGACCTGGAGGGTGACAACAAAAAGTGAAAGCTGTGAGCCTGCTGTTGGCACTGTTGGCGTTGCTGAACAAGCCACGTCTAAACTCTTTTTAACTGGTAGTGTCAGCAGGGACCTGGAAGCATAAATGGGGGAAGATGAAAAAGCATCAGCTGGAAAGATGCAAACCAACTTTTCTGGCCTGACAACAGAAACGGTTTGTGTCCTGGGAGATTTGTTCCCTCTTCAGTGATTTCAGTATTGGCTGATGGTTTGTTATCGGAGCCAACTGTCACTCACTGTAAGGAGAATGCCCATCTGTCTCATGTGTTTGCTTGTAGCTGACACCATTGGAATTACACATTAGCAGTATGACCTATCAGCATAAGTTCACAAGTGAAGCCTTTAAGAAGAAGATTTTTCTCATAGGAGATTTTTGTTAAGCATAAAATATATGCATAACCTGAAATATGTTCCAGACTTTGGCTTCCTGTATATACAAGCGTCCATATCCAGTCCTCACAACCTTGCTTTGTAAAGGGATCCAAGTCCATAAAAATGAAGTAAATCAAAAATAAAAAAAAATTCTTCCAAGCAGGCTTCATTATGCATGGAAATAAGGTGTCTCAGAGAGTCTGTTAAAAAAAAAGTATCACAAGTAGTATCACAAACGACAGCCTGTCAACTACTCTGTCAAGTCAGTGGTTTTGCACCAGACTGTGTCTGTCTGGAGAGGTGGTGGTGTCTACAGAGAGGGGAACATGGGCTTGGAACAGGCTGCCTATATCGGCCAGATGAGGCCCTTGAAGCTACAGACAGCCAGGAATAAGGGCATCCCAGAGTTGCCAAGTGAGATCAATAGACTCTGCCAATCTTTTCGGGTCTCTTAAGTGCACCAAAAGGCCTGATCCTGAGATCACTGAAAGCAGGGGGTATCTTTCCAGTGGTTTCAGTGGGCTTGGGATCATAAGAAATGAAAAACAGAGGGAAAGCTCCTTTAATCCTCTAATCCCTTCAAAGTATTATGGTTTTTAGCAGGTTTTCTTCCAGATGAGCAATATGGTTTCTGTGTTGACAACATCTCTTTAAATAGCAGCAAATATGGATATGGCCTACTTAGAAGTTTTTCTGGTCCCTATGGAGAACCTCATATTTTGTGGACAAAAAATGCCCTGTGAACACCCAAGACTTGATAACCCAGGCTGATGTTGGCAAGAGCACAGTTACCCAATTTGCACTGTCTTAACTGAGCTGTGTTTAGAGCCTCTAAAATGCATATACAGCCGTCCATGCTGACCAGTCATGATTCCTGCCTGCACTTGCCCTGAACTGTTGCAGATGGTTGTTAAAACTGGGGCTTGCTGCTCAGTCTCATCTGTGTCAGGAAAGCAGGAGAACTGCATCCATGATGTTCATCAGAATCTGCTTCTTCCCTTGCAGCTGCAATGCTGAGACTGCTGCCAAATCCCCCTCCAAGGGACAGTGTGATCTGAGGGAAGCTGATCTCCCACCTCCGGAGGACAGCCAGCAGCCCACAGCGATGTCCATGGCAACAGAGACCTGGGAGAACAAGCCAAGCAATGAGACAGCCAGTGCCACTCCACCTGCAGGGAATGTAAGGGAGAGGAATTCACCTCTCATCTTGGGCACGTGTTCAGGATTTTTTCCTCATTAGAAGCTCTGAAGGATCCCTTGGTTGTAGGATCTGGGCAGGCTGGGAGCCTTCAATCAGAAATCACACCAACTTCCATGAGTGATTAAACTCTGTTAGAAGCATTTCTAGTGCCTTTTTTACTACACTTAATGAAACAGGAGTCGGTTTTGTGCCCCTGCCTACATGCCACTGCATTTCTTTCAGGGAGTTAGCAATAATGACTTCATGGCTTCCAGAGTGTCTGGGAGATCAGACTCCCTCCTAGTCCCCTCCTGGTCAAACTGCTGATGTCAGTAAGGCATGGAGGATGGAGTTGCGCACCCCGCAGCACCAAAATGTTCACAGAGCAGAGGCAAGATAGCTCAGATTCCTGGCGACAGGCCCCTGGCCTGGGCTGTGCTGTTGACTCCTTCATGGGTATTTGACAGCCATGATCCAACCCCGTTGTGTTCTCAGAGCTACACAACAGCAAAGGGAAAGGAGTTCTTGCTCTTAGGACTGAGCAAGACAGAGGGACCAGAGGGAACAGATTCCTTAATGATCTTGTAATGGAGCTGCATTTACAATCCCACTGCTGATGAGTTGCCTTTCCTCTCCTTTGGCAACTAAAGTCCAGTGGGTGCAGACAAGGTGCTGCTTTGACCACAGCCTTGCTCAAAACCCTTTCCTGCCTTTCTTGCAGACCCCCAGTCCTGGCTGTCGCCGATCCAGCTCCGACATCGTCCATGAGAGCACGGATGGTGCCAAGGCCCAGCGGGAGTGCCGGCTGCGGCCACACTTCAGTGACCCTATGCCGACAGACTCGGTGAAGAGGAAGCAGCTGGAGCTGAAGATCGCGGCTGCAGCGCGGCAGCACGCGCAGAAACGCCGGCAGGAGCGAGACTATGGTACACACTCTGCACTCTCAGAGGGGCTGAGGGGCCAGATGCTGAGCCTGCTGTGCTGCTGTAAATATGGAGTAACTCTATGACCTGGGGAAGGGAAGCATTCTGGGTTATACCCAGGCATGCAAGAAATCGGGATCTACTCTGCTGCATCTCTGTCCCTGCATGGCAGATGGCAGGGGAAGAGGCAGCCCAAATGAGTTCACAGGTGTGGGCAGTGCAGGGGTGACAGGCTCCAGGCTTCACCTGGGAGCCATTTGCTTCTGACTCTCACCAGTCTCAGCAGCAAAACAGGGAGGGGAGGCAGCTCAGAGCCCTGCTTTGCCAATGTAGCCTGTCCCCCCAGGATTCCTCATGGTGAGAGATCCTCAGGTGAGCTCTCTGCAGCTGGCAGTACCTGTAATGATTTGTATCTGTTCTCAGGTCCAGTGGTAGCAAAAGCCAACCTCGGCCATGGTGGCAGCTTTGATGAGACCCGCCGTGCCCCACGTGGCTCCCTCCGCTCCAGACACCATTGGAGCAATGTCAGCAGCCTGAGCACAGACAGTGGGATTGTTGGCGTGAATGATGCCCAGGATGACCTGGATCCCAGCGAGGGCACCCGGACCAAGTCAGCAGATGTGGAGAGGGCAGATAGTGGCATTGGCCAAATGCCAGCCAGGAAGTGGAGGAACAGGGCATCTGAAACACTGAGCTCCCTGCAGGCCTGGGAAGCCCACCGTCCCTGCACTGACTGTGGAGAAAGGGACCTGCCAGTGGAGACAGATGTTCAGAACTGCAACCAGAGGCGGGCTGACCTCTGCGAGAAGTGCCGCAAGCGCAGGACGGAGCGCAAGGAGTCTGTGCTGGAGTTTGTCAACACAGAGGCCAGCTATGGAGAGGACCTGCGCATCATTAAGGAGGAGTTCTACCTCCCCATGCAGGCGGCCGGGCTGCTGAGCCAGGAGCAGCTCCAGGGCATCTTCAGCAACATCCAGGAGCTCATTGACCTCAATGAGAACTTCCTGGAGATACTTCAGGAAGAGATCGATCAGGCCTTTGACCAGGTATGATGCTGTGTGCTCTAAAGGGGCTAGACAAGGCAGGCAGGAATAGGTTTTGTATCAGTGGGTCAGCATAGGTGGAGCATAGGAGCAGGAGGTAGGATTCCTGGGTTATGGTCGTCTATCTAGTCCCTTGTTCCCTCAGCTCTTGTAAACTAGTGATTTCAGAAGCTATGTGCCAGGTCATAGCTGCTGGCCCCACTCTCTGCTGTGGTAATGCCACTGACCTCACAGGCCACCAGCAGTCCTGCTCATTTATCCCATTAACAGGACCTAATGGTCCCATTACCAAAGTTAGCTCTAAGCTGGTTAGCCTGGGTGCTGGTAAGAGTGTGACCATAGGGGCACAGAGCTCAGCTTGGTCAGTCTCTCAGGCTATGCTCTTGCAGCCCTGAGCTGGCTCGCTTCATGCTGGCTTGGCTGTGCTTGCCTTGGCTTGCAGTTTACTGCAGCTTGGCTCTAGGCTGGCTGCAGGGCCAGGCAGCACAGGCTGCTCCCTGCTCTACAGCTCTGTACTGGCTGTGTACCACCCTATGCACCCTACCTTGCACAAGGAGCTTTCCTGTCCCACTAGCATGGTGGTCAGAGGGCAGAGAATTAGAAGTAAGACTAGAGCAGCAGACAGTCACTTCAAAGAACATTTAAACAGCTCAACACACTCTTTTCTTCAAGAAACCAAACCCCACTTGTTGCTGTGTCGGTTTCTCCAGGATGTTTTGCTCTCTAGGAAAACATCCCTTCTCTCCCTCTTGAAACCCTGCATGTCAGACTGAGTGACACGTGTCTCAAAAGCTGCCAATTTGAACAACCACTTGTGCACCTGGCACAGTGAAGACAGATGTGCACAGCTTGTTTGATGGTCCCTGTGAATAATTTATTGAGACAATGGCTTCTACAAACAGCCATGAGTTTCCCCATCTCCTCCATCTTGCCTTGGCAATCAGAGCTCAGTACTGTACCAAAAAGCTGCCAGCGGCCAGAGAACTGCTCCCTGTCCTGCTGGCGATATAAGTCATGTCAGCAGCATACACCTCGACAGAGTTAAGAGCATTATGTGGCACCAACTTCTTGCTATTCCCATAATTTATTATGCATCCAGAAATCAGAGGACAGTTTACCATGGTATTTATTTTTCCCTCTAGGCATCAAAGTAGCCAGTAACACAACTGAAGGAGACTGCTTCCCAGCCAGGCCAGTTGCTGGGAGCAACTGCAGAAGTTGTTAGGTGCCATGTGTGTTACTGTTACAAGCCTCCTCTACACATTTGCTCCTGAATGCTCTCTGTTAATTTATGCACTGCTGCAGGGCCCCAGTACACCCTCCTGAATAGGAGGCTCACTCTGGCCTTTGACCCCCTGCTCTGGTGAGCTGGCTGAGTGCACAGGAGGAGGGAAGACAGTTCTTTGTTGTGGAAGAGCAAGCAGTTAGACCAGCTTTCCTTCCTCTCCCCACGCACTGCTTCCCCTGGACCTGTACAGATTGCCTTTCCACTAGGAAGGGTGAGCCCAGCTCCACCTTTGGTCTGGTGCTCACCAGATCCTGCAGCAGGGTCATGCTGACAGGACTGAATGCAGGCTCCGTGGCTGTGTTTCTCCTGAGCTAACCAAGCAGGGGATCTATTGCATTCTTGCAGGGGGATGATGACCTGATGACTGTGTGCATCGGAGAAATATTCCTAGAGTTTGTCAACATGCTGCCGGCCTTCCAGACCTACTGCCTCCAGCAGTCCTCCTCCGTGAACATGCTCAACGCACTGGAGAAGGAAAAGGAGTTGCTCAGGTGAGAACATGGCTGTGTTCATCCAGGCTGTGGGGACAGAAGGGCACCAGGCTGAGTTTGAAGCCCTTGTCAGCCCAACTAGATCATAGTTTGTTGCTAACTTTCTTCAGTTATCACTCTTCTCTGTTAGGGTAAGGACAGTAATGTAATCTCCAAAGAATACTGAGTTCTTGGTATCTCCACTGAGGCAACCAGTTGGTCCCCAGCTATGTTTTGTGGTAGCAGTGTCTGACCACTGCACTGAACTGTCACCAAATAATGCTCAGCTGAGAACAGCTCTCATTCCTCTGCCAGAGCCCAGGTTGAATTTCCACTGGAGAAAGCCACTGTGAGGCACACATAATTTGAATTTGTTTCCCATTCCTAGCCCCAGCTTACTGGAACATCAGGCGAATAATTTGTCTTTCCACCGCTCAGCTTAATATGATGACAGTACCAAATTCTTGTTTAGAGTGCTGTGTAATCTGATGTTGAAAGGTGCTACAAATTAATATAATCTGATATAAGATGATGTATGTGCCTCGCGTTTACATCAGGGGGTACCAGGGAAAGATCACACCCTTGCTATTTTACAATTTAATAGAAGACTTAGGTTGCCGTGTGGTGGTGTCCCAGGCACCTCATCATGGTTCTGCAGCTGAGCACAGGTACAGAAATTTTTGTTGGTCTCTGAGAAGACAGAATTCACAAGGTTGCAAAACTGGGGGGGCTGCAGTGCCCAGCAGCACCACGCTGTTCATTTGCTTTTAGGATTGCAGCATCTGCTGGCAGAACAGCTACCATTTCATTCTCTCTTCTTAAATCCCTGCAGAATATTCCTCAATGTCTCCCAGAATGACAACACAGCACTGCGGCGGATGAACTTGAGGTCCTTCCTGATGGCCCCTCTGCAAAGAGTCACCAAGTACCCATTGCTGCTCAGCAGAATCATCAAGGCCACCACCGAGTACCACCCGGATCACGGCAGCCTGCGGGAGGCCAAGAGCCGCATCGAGTCCCACCTGGAGCACATCAACATGAAAACCAAGCAGGAGGGGAACACATGGACCCTCCGATCCTTTCGCCAGGACAGCAAGAAGAAGAGGGAAGTCATTAATATTGAAATGAGAGAAACTGCCCTCAAAACTGTTGGTTGGCTGCGGGAGGAAACGCGATTTGTGATGGAGGGGTCTCTGCAGCTGGCCCAGCCCCCCGACGGCCAGTGGGTGAAAAAAGGCAGCAAGACCTTGAAGTTCCAGAACATGCAGGTTCTCCTCCTGGTGAACATGAAGCGTGTGTCTGAGTCCAGCCTGGAATCAGCCGAGCCAGGGCCTGTGAAAGATGCCGTGCTGGTACTCATCAGGGACAAAAATAACGGGAAGTTCCATTTGCTCAGGGAGCCCTTGAGGCTGAGTAATTGCATTGTCTCTACTGATCCCGACTGTGACGACACTTTTGAACTCATTGAGATCAGGAGGGAGGCGTTTGTGTTCCGGGACAGTGACCGGGCACGGACTCACCACTGGTTCAGGCAGATCAGGCGGTACTCCAGGGAGCTGGGCTCCTGGAAGAAGCGACGGAACGCGCTGCCCAACATCATGATCAGCACTCCTCACACCAGGCCCTGAGTCCTGCACAGGCTGACTTGGCTTGACCAATGTCATGTGCAGAGACCATCAAGAGCCTCAGTGGCTTGAACTTGCTGTGCTCCATGGACAACACAGGGAGGAGTCTGACCCCCAAAGACTCTTAACAGCACTGGAAGCACCACAGCCTAATGCTGGTCTCCAGCTCAGGACTCACAACCAGTTTGTGACTCATGTACATACAGAGATGGTCTCCCCTCAAGGAGCAGATCACTGAAGGAAAATACTGTTTAACTTGTTGATATTGCACTGCAGGAGAATGATGTATGATGCTTGCCATTGCATGGATCGTGTTGAAAGCCAGTCTTGATGAGAGAGGTTTCCACTACTGACTGTATTTCATCAGCATTAGGTAAAGTCAGGGTCAAAATTAGGTGCAGTATTATGCAACAGAGGATGAAAGTTGGAGAAAATTATGTTTTCCACCACTACTCCTAAGGACTGTATTTCATTATTCACCTCTGTATATTCAGTCAAAATACTTGTTTAAAAAGAAAGGCCTTTCATCTTTAATCCACATCAAGTAGGTGTCAATTTGCTCAGATTCAGCTGCATGCACACAGAAAAAAAAAAAAAAGGAAAAAAAAAAGGAAAAAAAAAGGCAAACATGAATAAAAGGAGTCTTTGCTCTCTGACACATACACCCCACATATGTGTAGAACCTGTGGAAGAGCAGCATACCCCCACTGAAAGTCTGTTATTTAACTGACTTAGGGACTGGAACATAATGCTGCATCTGAAATATCTCAGAAGTATATGTAAATACAGCTCTGCTACCACTGATAGTGAACTTAAGAGTTTGCAATTATTTAAATGATGTAATCTAGTGTATTTCAAAATTTAATTGAAAGGAACAATTTACCTTCTACTGTAGAGTAACATAAAAGGTTTTAATAATTATGTTTCAATTACTTTAGGTGGGTGTTTTTTTTAAATATTTGTACTCTGAAGTATATCTTTCACATGTGGGTGGCATTCAGGTGAACAATGTGCCTACGTCTACTCTGTGGAGGGGCTACTCCTAATGAGACTGGGAGAACAGTACAAACCTGCTACTCTAATTCTCACTAGACAGCAACAGACTGGCACAAAATCTTTTGCTCTGGCTGCAGTCCTGCCTGGGCAGGTCAGGTCTCAGCACACCAGACGTGAGAGCCAAAACTGAGGGCACAAAGCACTACCCCGTGAGGTCCAGCCTCTCTCAGTTCCTCAGCAGGGAAATGACTCGAAGCTGAACAATAGTAAAAAGGCAAACTGGGTTTAACCTTTTCAGCCTGACATTACCACTGACCGCTGCCTTGCGATTACAAGATCAGCAAAATGTCACGCTGTGACTTACACAGCAAAGGCCAGATTTCAGCCCGGGAGGCAAAATTAAGGGAGCCTAAATATTGGTTCATGGATCTTGGAGGACAGCCTGTAAATGTTCTTTCAGGCCTGCAGGGTAAAGACAAAGCCAATCAGGATTATTCACTACCAACACAGTAGTTTTGTTACAGGCATTTTATTTTACAGGAGGATTCATACAAGTACATTTGTGTATTTCTCCAGAGGTCAACCAGCATCAGTGGGCACCACCTGAAGGCAGACAGAAGCCACCTTCATAAAGGTAGCCCTAGTCTTGTAAAGTCACCAATGACACAATCCCTGAGCAGGCCTCAAACTGTGCCCAGTGCTTTGTCCTCTTGCCACAGCTGCCAGGGCTTGTTATACTGCTCCAGGCACTGAGGCAGAGACCAGCAGTGAGACATGCTGTGTCTCACTGTATTTTCTCTTCATCTGCTGTATTTTCTCTTCATCTGCACCATCCAGCATTCTAGTGCTTCATTTTGTCCTAGAGGAAATGGAAAGATTTGCATCATCTGGAGGGTGCTCAAGACGTGAGGGTGGCTGCACATAGCTGAGCACTGTAGTGAGCAATAATTGTCAAAATGCTTGTCAGGGCAGCAGCCTGGCTCCCTCAGGTAAGCTGGAATTCCCTCCAGCTATTTCCTAGCTGCTAGACAATAATTGTTTGTTCCCCAAAATACTGAACAGCCAGTGAAGAGCATGAGGCATTGCTTTAGTTTGCTGTTTGTTTTTCACAGAGATGGATGCCTGAGCAGAGCAGCTGCTGGAGGAAAATTTCTCTTATGCTGTCATGACAGATCTGCATCTATGAACCTTCAAGCCCCATTCACCTCACACGTAAAAAGCAACAGCTTGTAGCACCTTTGTCTTCCCTGCCAGGATCACAATGGCGCAGCCATCTTCTCTTCATTACCTGCGGGGCAGCTTTGACAAGGCAAGGCATAGGTACAAGTAAGTGTAACAGATTAATTTATCCAAACAGCAAGTGGCTTTTACAGCCACACAAAGCTGCTGCTTTCTGGAAAGTTTTCAATTACTTTCCAGCACAGTGATTTTCTCCACATCAATTCATGCTCAAAACCAGCCGTGGACTGTTTGTACAGTCATATCTTTCAATCAAGATACCTTCAGCCAGCCTGGCTGTTCAAAAAGGTTAGAGAACAATAAGTATACGTAAAAGGTCTGATATTTAGCATCAAGCTTGTGTTGGGCTGATTGTTCAATTTGTTAGATTCAGGGTATTTCTAGGTATCACAGGAAGCACCTGCCTGCCAGGCTCCAAGTAATCATGGCCTATTTCCTCTGAACCAAGCAAACTGTCCCCAGAAGAGGGTCCATAAATAATCACAGGGTGTTGAGTTACAAGCAGGACATGTACTTGGTGCTGTAGTCCTGTCTAAAAAAACCCGTGGCCAGGGAACAATACAAGCCCTTTGATCTGGGACAGCCTGCTACGGGAAGCGACAGTGGGATTGTTGAACCTGTCAAACCAGACAGAGGTTGTGCTTCCAACACACGTGCTTCTTTTATGTATCCGATGTGTACACAGCTGCTTGGCTGCCTGTAAATTACAGGTGTTGAAAGGGAACTCGAGCATGGAACAATCCCTATGGCCCTGGAGAGCCCGTGATGTGGGGTGAGGCAGCACAGGAAGGGCGAGGAGTGCCAGCACACTGACAAGGCAGTAGATTTCCATAATCCTTAGACACCTTTCTGAACTGCATGATCCCACTCCTGTGACGTTCCAGGTCTTTCAGCATCACATGTACATGTCTTACTTGGCAGCCATGGAGATTAGTTGTGCTGTATTTTTCCATTTCTGATTAACAAATGGACAAAATGCTATTATAACCCAGGGTACTTGGGAACAGGGTTGTCTGTAAGCCAAGAAAGCAATTATTTGTTCCAGACTCCATCATATTTTTATGCCTTTCATTGTCATGACTGACAAAGTACTAAGATTACTTTTCAAGACTCCTGCCCACTGAACTTACCCAGCTAGTACAAATAGACCTTTCTGGACATACCACGTCACAGGGAATAAGAGAAAGTTAGTTACTCCCTTGATTTATCAGAACTCAAAAATGACCTTTAACAAGAATTTAGTATAAGCCTTACTGGTCATTTACCAGGAAAACAACAAAAGGCAGTCTTTATTTATAGACTTCATATAGTTTTGAGTTCTGAAGGCAGACACACAAGAAGACAAAACACTGGATTAAGAGCCCCCTGTGAGCTCAGGTCCCAAGGAAAGAAAGAATAGCTCCTTTATGAGTCACGAGGCTGGGTGGGAAAGCCTGAAAAAAACATGGGGAGATGAAGAGCAAATACTTTAGAGGGCAGAGACTTCTGCTTTGGTGAACAGAGATCTCCTTTATGATGTCCTTGTACATTCCTGGTTGTCCTTAACAGAAGTGTGGATGGGGAAGGGGCATTCAGTGTGGGTCTCCACTCTATGATCAAGAACACATCTGAAATGGAGCACCAGCTTTGGTCTGGCAGCACAAAGCTACTGTAGCTGTCACTGAGGACTGAGAGATTGACCTCAGCACATCCCAAGGTCTGAAAAGAGCTCCAAGACCATCTCAGATCTCCTGCCTTCACTGCATGTGAATTTATAAAGCAGCAAAAATCCCAGGAAAGCAGATCTCCAGCAGGAGATTCTGGTGAATCTTGCACTCTCCTGCTTGTCCCTGACATGTTTAAAGGGAAAATAATTTAAATCTTTGAGAACTATATCAAAGATCCCTTCAGAGCTCATGGATGAGGCAGCTGTAGTAACTCTCATTTTGTGATGTCAGCTGAGTCTCCTCTTAAATGCATGTTGGGGAACTGGGTGAGATTCAGCTGGAATTAGGTTGACATTCTCTGACTTGAAATTGGAAAAAACCTGAAACCAAAAGCAAAGGAGGAAACTGTCCTCCCAGAGATCAAATAAATATTCAAAGCTCTCACTGTCATTGTTGAGTGACCTGTCACTACAGTGGAGTATGATGGAGCTAAAAGTCTTACTGATCAGGCAGGCAAAGGAACTGCCTTATATCTCTCATGCTGCTGCAGAATATCAGTACAACTGGAGACAGGTACAAGCATTATTAAAAAAAAAAAGTTTTGACAATACCAGTGTTCAGTCCAAAATAAGACATCTCCCTCAGGAAGTTGAAGGTGATCCACTAAGGGAAACCTTTCTACAGCATGATGGAAAAGTTGAGTGATAGGAATACAGAGTTCCTGTTCTTCAACAGAGATGGAAGAACACTCTGGAGGAATCACAACACAGGCAAAGCATCCTGCAGCACCCATCTCTGCCCGGGCTTGAGCAGTTACACAGCTGAAAAACATTGAAAAGCTGGCATTAGGCTTTAGATCCATTAGCAGGGATTAATGTAACGATAATTTGCAACTCTCCAGCTCAAATCCTGCCCCAGTGTGATCTCCACTACTGCAGGCTTTGCATCCCTGAGAAATTGTCTTGGCTACAAATGAGAAGACCCAGTCTGCAAACTGGATAGAGACCTTGGGAAGGTTCTCTGCATAGAATCAGGCAAAGGAATCCTTTGTTTCAGGGGCAGTGGAGCCCCGGTGGTTTTGAACCCTTCCCTCTTAGTGCAGGAGCTTCCCTTGCAGTGCCAGTAACATCCTTGGGAGGATCCACATCAAACTTCTCTCTGGGTGGAGGGCTGGGCAGATGGGAGCGGCAAGCCTGGAGGTCACAAGAATGTCACAGAGCAGATCCCATGACTGATGCCTGGGATAACCCAACTGTGCAAAGAGCACAAGGCCTTTATAGCCCTGGACCATTTCACAGGGGCTAAAATCTCAGGCTGAAGTGACAATAAACAGGCAGTGACACCTGACAGGAGATACCCATCTTACCTAACTCATGCCAGACCCACATCACACAGACAAGAGACATATACCAGATAGGACTCTTCCTCCCAAAATCAAACACTCCTTTCACAACATTCCATGAATTCAGGGGGGAGGAGGCTCTGAACAGCCTCTACACACTCTTCAGTAGAGCTGCACTGCAGCATCCAGCAACAGGCAGCACTTTAATGAGGGAAGATAGACTGCTGGTGAGTAACGGGTCAGCATCCACACAGACCCCTGGAGTCACAGACCCCCTGCTCTCCTTAATTGCCTTAGTGTGTAATGAACTCACTGGCTGAAAACTTGAGTGAGGCTCTATAGCACAGAAGTCCTCACTTTCCACAGTGAAAAGAAGACAAATTATTTACAAAATAAAAAGCAGTTAAATTAATGCAAGAAAAATCAAAGTTTACCACATAGTGTTACAGGTCAAAGAATACTTAAAGCTGACACTGCAGGGAGAGGAGGAAGCCTCCCTCCACACACTGGTACAGCATGTGGGGGGACTGTGTGATGCACCAGATTGGGAGCAAACATGGCTGAAAACTAAAGATCAGTTCCTTGATCCAGTTCACTGCACAAAGATGTTTGCTGGGACCAGAAAAGGGCAGCCTGGAGGTGATAACATGTCCTTTAACAAGTGCCAGGTTAAACAGGTGGCTGGACCCTGGCTGCAGTTAATGAATTCCAGCAGGCAGAACCCAGTTCAACAGCCAGCCCCAAGGTCTGCTCTGCATCCTGTGCCATGGAGCTCTGCTCACCCCTGCTTCCCAAACCGTTTCAGGTCAGCACTTCCATGGATCTATTGGGCTTGAACAGGCAGTGCTATAAATAAGGAGCAGTTAATCAATTACTTAAGTGCCCTTTTTACCAAAATTAAAAAAAAAGTAGAAATTACGTCAAGATGCAAAAAAAAAAACAACAAGCAAACAAAAACCAAATGAGTGAATACAAAGATGATCCAAGAGAGTGCTCCTGGGAATACACTTGAGGCTGAAGTGGCTCAGGGAACAGCCATGCTGGCTGTTGAGTCACTCTCAGTGCTCCTGCTCTGACTCACTCCCCTCCCAGCTGCCAGCGCTGTGCAGTCCATTCAGTACCAACAGGAGTTACTTGTTCAGAGTTCAAGTGCATCTGATTCATCATGAGCCATCAAGCCTCTGCAGTCCTTGGAGCTCACTGCCATTCCCTGCTGGCTAGCCTGCTCCCATTCCCCCTGGGAAAGGGAAGGGTCAAAAAAAGACACCTCCCCATCCTTCTGGGTTTTCCTTCTTCCCTCTGCTCCCAGTTCTGGGATGGAAACACAACTTATCATTTAGGATCAGGGTTCTGTGCAGATTTACAGTCAAGGCCACAAGATCCTGCAGACTACCTCTTTGCTGCAGCCTAGAAATGGTTTTCTTTTCCCTTCTCCAGACCCAGCTTGGGAATGCACTGTACAGCCTGGCTCTTGCAAACGATGCTTTTTCAGAGGAAGATGCCAGGCTCTCAAAACCTAGGAACAGCAAAGATCGAGGTGTTTGCTAACACACTCCAGGAACACAACGCAGGAGTGTCTCTTTCTCAGCCACTTGCTCTTCACAGAGCCCTAGACAGAAGGATCCCACACTTTGCACCTCTTAAGCCCTAAGTAAGAGACTTGCTCTTCCAGTTGTCTCTCCCATGGTCCCTGCACCTGTGACACAGCACTGCTCTATGTCCACCCAGCTCTCGGAAAACACTGAGAGAGGCAAGAGCTGGCAGATCTGGGATCTACTGAAAAGCTGCATTAGGCACATGGGATCCTGTGTCAGGAAGCAGACCTGCTGCATGACTAAATGCAATTGGAGTACTTGGGACATAAGCCATGACAAAGCCTTAACACTGGCCCTGCAACCAGAAACCTGCCCTGCCACGTGGCCTCACATCCCAGTTCCACATGCCAGGAGTCCTCCAACCCGAGACACTCCAAACTGGTGCTCAGGAAACCTTTCTCTTATTCCCCTGCTCCCACACATTTCCTGTGTGACCTTGATCTGCACAGCTGTGTCTCAGAGCCTTAGTGTGTTGTTTCACCCCACGTCTCTGGTTTTGGCAGTAAAATTGGCTTAAGCTCCTTCCTTCCTCCCACCTCCACAGAGTTAAATCCAGAAAGGTGCAAACAGTGGCACAGGGCAAGAACAAAGAAGTACTTTGAAAGCTGGTCTCATTGCCATAGGACTCAGGAAGTTACACCCTCATTTTCTTCAGTTGTGAAAGAGGGATATTACTCTCTGGGTATAACTTAAATGCCACTGTATCAGAACAGGGTCCCAGGAAGGGAAGCAAACAACAGCAGGTGATCAGACAACAGACAGAGGTACCAAATGGCCAAAATCAAAGAACACATTTTATTGGCCAAAATAACCAAGAAACCATTTTCTTCCAATAAACAAATAAACCCCCCTAACTGAAACGGTGGTAAATCTTTGCTAACAAATTGAAACAATAACAAACCCCACATAAACTTTACTGTTTATGTTCATCCTCTGGAAGTATTCCTCCTCCTACAGAAGTTATTTGTTCTCCTTAACCCTCCTGCACCACCAGAAGTAGGAGAATGGAAAAACTCATTCAGAAGAAGAGAAAAAGCACACTGGGAGCCATGAGTCTTTCCACTTACACAGGTGAAAGAGGCTGTTGGTGTTTGCAAACACCTTACATGCAATTATCTGAAACTAGTAATTTCCCCTTTTCTCAAGATACAAACATTTTACTACACAAACTATAGTTTTGGGTTTTTTCTAATCCCAGGACACAGGTACAGTTGTGTCCTGTACAGGTTGTTACAACTCAGATACTTCTCTATTCAGAAATCTTGGAAGTTAAAAAAAACATAAAAAAATTGGTTAGACTGAGTTCTTGAGGCAAATGATCATATTCAAACTCAGCATTTACTCATGTCAGTAAAAAAAAGATAGAGAAAGCAGGCCTTTGAGAAAACCTTGCTCTCCATGGTAACTGAAATCTTGGAGGAAAGATAAAAATGAGAGAGAGAGAAAGAGAGAGATATGCCAGACACCAGTTCCAATGGAGGAATTCTCAGGAATATTTTCACTAATTTCTCAATTAAGGGGGATACATTAACAGAAACCATTTAAAAAATCTGGTTAGTAAACGGTTATGCAAATCTGTTCAACCTACCTAGGTGAAAATTTAAGAAACAAAAAAGGAAAAAAAAAATCAGTGTCTTAAAAAAAAGTAGATATTTACACACTGTGTTTTTTAAAACATCCTGTGTATCTGCACTGAGGTGTGTGCTGTGCACACGTCTTTGAAGATGTGTGAGCAGTCACAGCCACAGCACCTCACTGCTGGAGCAGGGAAGCTACACTACAGAACTAATGGGAATCAGCTCATGGGAGCTACTGACTATTGCTGCTGTGCACTGAACAGCACCGTGTGTCTGACAGGGGAATTCCACTGGAAACAGAGAGCCTCCTGCCCTAATCTAGACATGATTTTACAAAACATCTAACACCTGTACCACACCTTTTGTAAGAAAATAGAGAGCAGCTTTGAGCTGCAGTTCTTCTAAACTACTGTAGGAAG